TTTGGTTTTGATTTTAATTGAAATGGCTAAATTTAACTTTTCATCTATTAACTATTATTCTATTTTCATTTTAGTTTAGATAGTTTAGTTTCTTCCAAATTCATCTATAAATTATGAAAATAATTTTAAATTCATCTATGTAGCAAACTTCCATTAGTTTTTTTAATGGAATCCTATGGCATAATTATGTGGCACGAGTTACATGGCATGGCATATGCAATTTTGAAAAATTGTATTTCTTCTTCTTTTTTCTTTTCATTTGTATATCTTAATAATATTTTCACTTTCTAGTGAATTTTTTTTATTTTTAATTTTGTAATAAATCTATATCTTTTAATTTCTATTAACAACTAAAAAAATCATCATTGTCATTAGGATAAAATTATATCATTTTTTTTAAGTTAGTGTGGATTAGTCTTGCTCCTAACAAAAAATTAGAGTTTCAATATATTTTTAAAAACTAATTTAAAAACTTAAATTTTAATTCAAAATTAAGAATCTAATCAATTTCTAAATCTAAACATCAACATTTAATAAGATAAATTTTTAAATTTTAATTAAATAAAACGAAATAATTTAAGGTTAAAACTTCAATCTTTTTTGGAAGTCAAGATTGATATATATATTTTTTTCTTTTTTCATTTAGTTCAAAATTTTAATTTTTATTTGCACTCTCTCTTTCTCAAAATAATTTTTTTAATATTTTTTTAAATTAAAATTTTAAGGATAATTTATGTTTATTTATATTATCCTTAAAAAGAAATAAAAGATGAAGAGATACATTTTGTGATGGGATGATTAATTAAAGTAAATAGATAATAACAAATATATTTTTGAACTTTAACCTAATTGTTATTATTTACTTTAGTTAATCATCCCTTCATCTTTTATTTATTTTTAAGGATAATATAAGTAAACATAAATTATCCTTAAATTTTTAATTTAAAAAAAAGTTATTTTGAGAAAGAGAGAGTATAGATAAAATTAATTTTTTGAATTAAAAAGAAAAAAGAAAGGGAAAAATACATATTAGATTCGACTCAAATAAATTAGAGTTCTAACTTTAAATTACATTATTTTATTTAATTAAAAATCAATTTACAATTTAAAAGTTTATGTTATTATA